AATACTGATAATGATAATAAGATAACAATGATAATGATAATCTATACTGATAATAAACTGATTAAAACTGATAATTAAACGATACTGATATAAAATTTACAAGCAATAATAATAACAATGCAATGGATGTGATACGATAAAAATGCATAATGATGATAACATTTAAATAACAACATTGCAATTTGATAATAGTGATAGTAATGATTGATAATGATGTATGGTGACCATGATAATGACAAGGGGATAATGACAATAAATCAGGATGATAATATGGATATAATTGAATAAGAAAAATATAGTGGTAATTACTAGTGATAAACCAATTATGAAAAAATATAATTAGATTGAGATGATAATGATTATGAAATATTGATAATAAAAAAGATAATTGATAATTAGATGATGATGCATGATTTGATAACTGATATGATATAATGATAAGTTCATAATACTAATGATGATAATAATAATATGATCATGATAATAATAATAATAATAATGATTAATAATAAAATAATATAATAATAATAATAATAATTAATAAAATTTAATAATAATGAAATGAATAACCATTATAATAGATATAATAGTAATAATGATAATAAGAGCAAAATGATAATGGTAATCCTAAGACCCATCGATCCACCGTATAATAAACACCCCAGATGTGATATAGCACGAACGTACATCTGAAGATATACATGCAATCTAAAGCGTGATAACGATCGACACTATAGCAGAGAGGGGATTCCATGAGCATCCTATTCAAATAAAAAAAAAGCAATAACATGGAAACAACAAACAATACTTCCCTCCTCACTTATTTTGCCTTAATATCTTAGTTACAAAATAAGCTAAAAAAAAAAAAAAAAAAAAGATTGTAAATAAATTCTCTTCACCACATCTATCAGATTTTTTTTTTTTTTTTTGCTTTGAGGACTATACAACACCATTCATGATTCCCATTCCAGAAATAGGTCTACAGACCGAACAATTCCTCGGAAAATACGAGGCAATTAGCGCTCGTTATTCTTATTTCTTCTTGTTTTCCTTCCCTTCTTTCTTCCTCTTCTCTTTCTTCTTCTTTTTTCTTTCTTTTTCTTTTTTTCTTTACTTTACTTTTTCCTCTATTATTCTGCTTTTTCCGCTTTTTTTTTCTTCTTCTTCTTCTTCTTCTTCCAAGGGGGGGGGGGGAGAAGGGATAAGCTAGGGAGAGGGGTAGTCCGCTAGAGGAAAGGGGGGCGGGGAGCGGAGGGATAAGCTAGGGAGAGGGGAGTTATAAGGGAGGGGAAGGGCGTAGGAAGGGTAGGGACACAAGGAGGAGCGGGGGAAGGGAGAATAGGAAGGGAGGGACAAGGGAGGAATAAAGAAGGGAGGAAGGGAGGGATAAGGGAAAGAGGAAGGGGGAAGGAAGGGGAGAAATAAGAGAGACAGGAAGGGAGACGGGTAAGAAAAGGGATAAGGGGGATGTGGGGGGGGGGGTAGTAGGTCGTCTCTCACCCCCAATTCTGGGTTATAGACAGAGAAGTTTAGCAGCTCGTACGTGTGTGTTGTGGAGACGTTCGCTGGTAATAAAGAAGTTTGTGCGAGAAGTTCATTGATGTTAATATTGTTATCGTCATTTGTTTATTTATCTATTCTTTATCTTATCGACATTATTATCATAAATGTCATTTTGATTGGATAGGGAAAGCAAGACAGAGAAATGTTTGTGAACAAAAAGATTTTAGGGAGAAGAAAAAATGGGACGAGAGAGAAGAGAGAGAGAGAGAGAGACTGGAAGAGAGAGAAGAGAGAGAGAGAGAGATAGAAGAGAGAGAGAGAGAGAGAGAAAGAGAGAGAGAGAGAAGAGTGAGAGAGAGAGAGAGAAGAGAGAGACAGAGTAGAGAGATGAGAGAGAGAGAGAGAGAGAGAGAGAGAGAGAGAGAGAGAGAGAGAGAGAGAGATAGATAGATAGAAGATAGAGAGAGAGAGAGAGAGTGAAGAGAGAGAAAAAGGAGCCATTTTTTCAGGAAGATTAAATTCATTTCACTTTCAGAATAAGTTTAAGCCATTTCATTTTCAAAAGAAATGTAATCCATTTCAGTTTCAAGATAAATTAAATTTATATCAGTTTCAGGATAAATCTAATCTACTTCAATTTCAGTATAACTTTAATCCATTTCAATTTCAAGAAAAAATAATACATTTCATTTTCAAAATAAATCTAATCCATTTCAGTTTCAGAATAGATTTAATCCAATTCAATTTAGGATGAATTTTATCCATTTCATTTTTTTTCCATTTAATCCTTTTCAGATTCAAGATAAATCTAATCCATTTCAATTTCAAGATTAATTCAATCCATTTCAGTCTCAGAATTATGAATGAAGTTTAGATCAGGCTTAAAAGCTTAAAAAAAGATAAATGAAATAAAATAAAAAATAAAAATGACTGGGCTCGTAATCCACGTCGGCGCCAAATTCAAAATTCTCGCACAAACTTTCGTAGATTGGCGAATCGTCTCCTGTTCAGTCTATCATCACGTCTTTCATTTCCTATTGTTTTTCTCTCTCTTTTTTTTTTAATCTCGTTTCGTATTATTATTCATCCTTTTCTCTCTATCTGTTTATTATTTTTATTATTTTTCTATTCTTCTTCTCCCTTTCTTTCTATCTCCGTTCATTTATTATTTTTTTCTCTTCTTTCTTCCCCCCCCCTTTCTCTCATTTCTCCTATTACCTCTTCCTCTCTCTCTCTCTCTTCTTCATCGCTTTTCTCCGTATCTCCATTCCCTTTTTCCCTATTACCTCTTTTTTTTCTTCTTCTTCCTCTTCTCTTGATCTCCGTTCCCCTTTCCTGTTATCCTTATCTCTCTCACCAGACAGTTCATTTATTTGTTTTTTCTTATTTTTCCCCTATTTATCTTTCATTATTCCTTCTTACACCATTCGCCCCCCCCCCCCCCCCCCCCGCGCATGTCTTCTCAATCAGCTGTTTTGTCGTGGACTTACGGACAAAAAAAAAAAAAAAAAAAAAAAAAAAAAAAAAAAAAAAAAATCAACAAACCTCATTACGGTGTTGAGTGGCAGGTGGGGGGGGGGAGAAGAGGGGAGGGGGTAAAGAGGAAGGGGGAGGGTATGCCAAGGGTGGATGGGGGGGGGGAGGGGGGTAGGGATAATTAAGCATCCCTGCTCATGGTTTGCGTCTTTTCAATTGTGTGATTTTGAGGGGGGGGGGGGTTTTATCTTTTCTCTCTATCTCTCTTTCTTTCTTTCTCTCTCGTCTGTCTGTCTCTTTTTCTCTCTTTCTTTGTCTCTTGTCTGTGTCTTTCTCCTTTTTGTGTCTTGTCTTGTCTGAATTCTTAGCTTTCTCTCTGTCCCTCGGTAGCTCTCTCTTCCTCTTACTCTTTCTGATTTCGCGTCCTACCTATTTATCTCTTTCTATTGTATGTCTGTCTGCCTCTGTTTTTTTTTTTTTCTCTCAATCTTTTTTTTTCTCTCACTCCTTCCTTCCTTCCCTCCTCCTCCTCTCTCTCTCTCCTCCCTCCTTTTCTCTCTCCTCCTTCCTCCTCCCTTCCTTTCTTTTCCCTCCCTCCCTTCCCTTCACCCTTCCTCCTTCTCCCTCCCTCCCTCCTTTTCCTCCACCCTTCTTCTGCCTCCCTCCCTCCTTTTCCTCCCCCTTCTTCTGCCTCCTTCCCTCCACCTCCCTCTCCCCTCTCCCTCCCTCCACCCTCCCTCTCCCACTCTCCTCCTTCCTTCCCTTCCCTCCTCCCTCCACAAGAAACGCCACGGGGACCCAGCAAGACGTCATGACATACACAAGAAAAAAAAAGAAAAGAAAAAAAAAAAAAAGGAAAAGTTAGCGTCCCTCCGTGTCCTCTGCTCTGCCTAATGATTTTACCGACTGTCTTATCTCTGGAGGTGAGGCCGGGGGAGGGTGGGGAGGGGTGGGGGAGGGGTGGGGATGGAGGGAGTGGTGTGTAGGGGTTGGGGGGGGGAGGGTGGCTCCTGTTATGGCTCATCGGGGCTTCCTTTGTCTCCTTTATGGAATTCTGCCTCTTGGTGTGGGGCATCGCGGGATAAGGTACATGCATGCGTACATACATACATATACATACATACATATTGTGTGTGTGTGTGTATGTAACATATACATATATACATACATACACAATTATATACGTGTGTTGTTAGTGTGTATGTGTAAAATATATACATGTATGTATGTATATGTCCACGTTTAGGCACCACAAACATTAGGTTACCGTGAATATCAACTGGTTTGTTATAAATTGTGCCAGGCCCGACCCAATGAATTTTCATAAATACAGACGCAGAAATAAAGGCATATTTGTCTATATATCTGATAGATATACATTTAACCATCTATTTGCCGGGTTGATATGCATGTCTAGACTGATAAATATGCATTTATTTCTTTATTTATGCATGTATACGAATATTCTTTGGGTCGAGCATCGCACAATTCTAACAAACCGACTGTACAACAATACTCCTATTACTGATGATGGTTAGACTATCATTTCGTCTAAGTATGTGTATACATGTGTGTGTATGTGTAAGGATGTGTGTACACTGAGTTTTCGTCCGGCGGTTCGGTCCCACGGATTGATTCTTGAGAAATGTCAAGTCAAAGGATTGCGTAATCTATTTGCCGCGCTGACTCAGGTCGGAGAAGGTCACGGGGAAGGCGAGGTCAGTAGCAACCCGAGGAGGTGTCATGGCGTCTGATTCTATTTTTGGAAAATAGAAAAATGATGACGTCACAAAAATTACGGATGCTTTGTGATCTTTTTGTGATTTTTTGGGTCGATCGTTTTGATCTTTTCAGTTTTCAATAAAGATGGAAAATAATGATTCTAATGGCTATATTTTCATTGAACAATCAACAAAAGAGCCCTGTGGGACGCCATGACACCTCCTCTAGTTGCTACTGATCTAGCCTTCTCCGAAAGATCACACTCTTGGCTAGGCTTAAGTCTGGGGAATCTGACAAACCGGATAAGGACTTCGGATTGGCCATTCCCTGCTAATTCTGATTATCATGAGGTTAAAGACATCATTTAGAGTTTCGAAGGCGGGTTTCGACACACCGAACTCGGGGAGTGTAATTGTAATGTAAACAGCACAGGAGGCGGAGTCTAAGCCAACCGCCAT